CAGGCCTCACCCCTGGGAGCAGGGCTGAGTCCCCCAGGAGGAAGGGATGCCTTTTCTTATTTGTAAAAGGCACCCTTCTGGGTTGAAGCAGCCCTTTCCTTAGTATATAGTTGTTTACCAGAATGAAGACATTAACACATGATTTGAACTCTAGAAACCCAGCTTTGGTCTTGAATATTCAAGACCTTGGTCTCTGTCTGAGCCTCAGCTTCCTCATCTGTATAATCAGGGTGTTGAATTCTAAGACCTGTGGGAATGCTGTCACTTCAGACCCTTTAATATTACTTGTCAGATTTAATGGAAGTAATTCCATCCATCCATCCATTCATGCATCCATTGTTGTGAGGAAGAATTGGGGTGTAAGTCGGAGGTGCTGGGGTGAAAGAATTCACCAGAGACAAGTTGAAGAACAGAAAAGGCAGATTTATTGAAATGCTCTTCTGAGAAAGCAAGGGCAAAACAGGAGAGGACTGCTGCCCAGACAGAGGGTCCTATTCCAGGCATCAATTATTGGCTAGGGTGACTAGTTCTGGGTGCATCCTGACTGATGAGCTGCATCATCAACTTTATCCATTCAAGTCTCCCAAACTTGCTTGCTGGACAAGAAGTGGGGGCTTAGCTTTCAAATTTAATAATGATACCACAACACCCACTCCATCCATTTCAGGAATAGAGACATCCAGGGGGAGGGATGGTTTAGGCCATTGCAGGAAAGAGATGCCAATTCTAGAAAAGTGTACTTGCCTGATCTCTGAGGACACGTCTCTGCCTTTGATAAAGATCCTTTCCCTCCACCTGAGTGTCAAGGTATTTACATGTCCCACTCCAGAAAGCAGCCATCATGTCATTACAGATGCAATCAATACAATCAGCGCCTGCAGCCAGCCATGTAGTGCGGAGAGGCTGGAGAGTGCGTGGGCCTATCTACCACTGCCTCCTTCTGAAATATTGCTAGGGCCATAAAGACTAATGAACTTCTCCCTCCCAGCCATTGACCTCGTGAGGGGTGGTGAGTATTTTCACAATCAAAGCACCAGCAGCCCAAATGGGAGGCAACAGACAATTATAAATATTGGATCAAATTGACCTTGGATACCTGGGGAGGGCACAGAGCCACAGCCAAGTCTTAAAGCAGCAGGGTATAGCTGGCATGCTGAGGCAGGAAGTGAGGGATAGCTGTGCTGGAGAAATCTTCCTCTGGGACCCCTTCTGTACCAGAGCAGGCAGGCTGGGAGGTTTCCAATCGCTTTCATGTGCTTGATTTATTTCTTCTTTTAAACCCAGTTCTCCTCCAAAGAGGATTTGTAATGACTAGCAATAAAGACACCTACAAGTTAATGTAAAGTGAACTGGGAAGTTTAAAGCCTGACTGTAGGCATCACAATTCATTCATTCGTTCATTCATTCATTCATTCATTCACTTGTCCACTTGTTAAAGCAGCAGCTCTCTCCATCACACCCAGTACTATGCTGAAAACTGTTTGATTCCTATGGCTTGTGTCATTAAGGACTTTACAAGGTGACTGAGGGTCAAGATGTGTATGAGGAAACTGGGGCAACTTCCTGGGGTAGGATCCTCAGAACAGCTCCATGTGGTTTAATCTTCTACTGTTACCATCTTGAGGGGTTTTTTTTAGATTTATTTTTATTTATTTATGCATACAAGAACTGGGGTATAGGCCAGAGGTGCAGAGGGTGGGGAGAAGATTCACTAGAGGCAGAGTGGGGAGCAGATCAGATCTACTGAAATAGACTGCTGAGGGGAGCAGCAGCTGAGACAAGAGAGGTCTGCTGTGCCATGTTGGTAGCTCCTGCCTGGGGATCCAACTCACACCACAGTGGCTGGCCATAGCTGGATAACACTGAGACTTTAATCCCTGAGCCACCAGGGAAGTCCCATCTTGAGATTCTTAATACTTTTTTCTTTGAATCTGTGTTTTAGCTTCGTGAATACAGAATCCCACTGGACTCACCACGTGTGGTAGTTGGGTGACCAAGTACTAGGTAAGCAGCAAGGTATGTCTATGACCAAGTGAGCAGGTGAGAGCCCAGAGAAGCCATGCCTTCCACTAGAACTGGAGCTAGCTTTGAAAGAAGGCAGGGGTGTTCTAGGGAACATGAATGACTCGGGAACTCTATTATATACCTTTTCACTGTTTTAGTCTGTATTCACCAGCCACTTACACCAAAAACAGTGACAGAGAAGAAAGCAAAGTTCCTTTGCTCTTCAGTCCTTCTTACTTTACTCATCAGTAAACCAAAGAGAGTGTGTTGGTGCATGTGCCTGAGTCAAGAAATGAATTTTGAAAGGTTGGTTAGTTTTGTGCAATTTCTACTGTTCTGATGAGAACTAAAATCGTATCATGTATGAGAGAGACTGGTGTAATTTCAGGGATTTTTTGTATGAGATGAAGTTCTCTATATTCGTTTTTAATTGCCCTAGGACAATATAAAAAGGGATGGTAAAATTCATACTAACAGTGAAAAAAAATTTTATTTAGTTTGACATAAACGACTGACCCCATGCTATGTCAACACCCTGAAGAAAGGAAAAAAAAAAAAACCTATGTGGTTTAGTACCTCTGATGGCACTCCCCCTGGCCCCCTGCTTTTTGATCAAGGGACTTGAGATTTCATTTTGCATGAAACCCAGCAAATTATGTATCTGGTCCTGGGTAGACGTCTGTCAAGCGGGGCACAGGAGCAGGCTGCACTCAGAGGACATCTTTCATAGGATCTGAAGATCCTGTCTTCCTGGAGTGCTAGTCACTGATGTGTGAGGCACTGGTGTTCTGGTTTTAGTTATATTCATTTCTGTCCTCAGCTGACTACTTGTTTCTTCTCTCAACAGCAGCTCTTCCTGCTGTCATGGATTTTCTAATCAAAAAAGAGCAATTTAGCTTTTATTACATCTCATTGCCTACACCCACCCCTCCAAGCCCTGTAATTCATACTGTACTAAAATCCCCTGCTTACAAGTTTTCACTTTCTCTGCAGCTGCTCCCCTGTCCTCATTCATCTTCCGCGGAGCAAGGCCTCCCTGCCTGTCCTCGTCATTAAGGGTTTCTGCTTCGACTGCAAGACCGTCCATCCATCTCCCTGGTGAGCTTTGATGGAAAGCTATGTCCCAGAGCCCATGTCCAACTTCCTTGTGCTTCTAGGCTATGCTTAGCTGACACCTCATTACTCAGTTTGGATTGGAAATGGACTCTACTTCTTTCAACCATTCTTCACTTTGTCCAAGAGATAGTTTTTGTCTGTTTTCTCTGACTTATCCTCTCATTCTGGTCATCAGTAGCCTAGTGCAATTATTCAAACCAACTGTTTTGTCCTCTTTGTGCAATAGAGCATCTTCTAAGCTGTTCTGAGATCTTTAACAGGATTAGTTCATTTACTAATGAGCTAAGCAACAGTAGTTCCATGTCCACTTACATCTGGAAATTTTTTCTTTAACTCAGTGGTATATAGTCATCATCTTTGCTTAGATTACCTTTACTAGGGATTCTTCCCCTGCTCTGGAAGTTTGTAAACCATGTGCAACCTTTTCATATTTTCACTTTCCCAGTGGATTCTTCATATTTCTCTGTTCCCCAAATAGCAAGCATATTTCCTGTGCATTTGAATTACTTCTTCAAGTCATCTGATTGTATCTTTAAGCTCAGATACTTCCTTAGGGAGGTAGGGGGAGGGTGTCTTGATTTCTCTAAAAGATAATCTTTGCTGCTTTGATATTTTATTCTTGATTAGATAACTTTATATTTCAGTAATTTCATAGCTACAAGGAAAATAGAAAGTCTAGTATAATGAATGTTCCATATCCTCCTCACCAAGATTCACTAATTGCTAACATTTTGCCATATTTATGTATGATACATACTTTTTTTCTGAATAATTTGGAAACTATTCACAGGTATGACACTCCATTCCTAAACATTTCAGCATAAATATTCTATAAATAAGGACATTCCCCATAGAATTATAGTACAATACTCACATCCAGAAAAGTAGCAATAATTCCAAAATCTAAATTACAACCTGTATTAAAATTTCCCTACTTGTTCCCAATATGAATCTACAACTTTTCAATAATTTCTTTTCTTTCTTACAAGATCATTTTAAACTACCCTTTATGAAAGGAGTGTTCTTCCCCCAAAGAAACTGGCAAATGCACCACTCTTAAAAATGTCAGTAAAAATTCCACATTCCCAGGGCATGTTATAAAAATCCATCCTGACCTAAGTTCTGCAGAGTGGTCAGTAACTTCTTGATATATTAATTTAGGCAATCTTCATCTCCATGGCTGTCAGACAAAGTTACTTTTCTGTGTTTATTTCTTGTCCCGATTTGGAGACACTGATGCTTCCAAACTTGTATCAAGTTCCCAGACTCTTCCAACATTTTTAAATCCTTTCCAGGCATTTCCATTCTAGAAATGGACTCAATTTCTCCGGGAGCATCATTCCTTGTGGAATTCCTGGTTATGGTCCACACTATCTTTGGGTTGAAGTTAGTTCTCTGATAGTTTGTTTTGTTTTAAAGATTTATTTATTTATGCATACAAGAACTGGGGTACAGGCCAGAGGTGGGGGAGTGAGAGAATTCACCAGAGACAGAGTGGGGAGCAGGACAGGCAGACTGACTGAAATACACTGCTGAGGGCAGCAGCAAGTGAGTCAGGAGAGGTCTGCTGTGCCATGTGGGTAGCTACCTGGCCAGGGATCAAACTAGTGCTGCAGCAGCTGCGGACAGTCTCAGAGGTTGTGTCTTAACCCCCTGCGCCACAAGTTCTCTGGTAGTTTATTCAGAAAAAGTTTATATGAACAATCCTTCTAAAATTCTTGCATGTTCAAAATGTTCGATTTTGTATCTTTAAAATAAAAGTCAGGTATAAAGGGTATAGAGCACAATTTTCTCAAGAAATTTTTAGGATTGTTTCATTGTCTTATAGCACTGAAGGATGACTTAGAGAAGCCTGAAGTCAGCAAGCCATTGAGCTGGGTTTTGTGCCCGACTGCCCCAAAGAGTCTTTATCTCTGAAGTCCAGTAACTTTGCTAGGATATGTTTTAGTGAAGCAAACCTTTGTCAACTTCTCCTGGAATCAGCTGTGCCTTTTTAAGAGGAGTCAAGTCTTTCTTGGTTTCTGAAAAGAAAAAAAAATTTTTAAAGATTTATTTATTTATGCATACAAGAACTGGGGCACAGGCCAGAGGTATGGGGAGGGGGGTGTGTGTGTGAGAGAGAGAGGACTCACCAGAGACAGAACAGGGAACAGAACAGGCAGATTGACCAAAATACACTGCTGAGGGGAGCAGTGGGCTAGCCAGGAGAGGTCTGCTGCGCCATTTGGGCACCTCTCTGGCCGGGAATCGACCTCGTGCCTCAGAGGCTGTGGACAGCTCCACAGGCTGTGTCTCAAACCCCTGCACCACCAGGGAGGCCCTGAAAATTTTTTGATGAATTACATCTTTAAATATTTCTATTATTACATGATTTCTCTTTTGTCCTGCTGGGCCACCATTTTTGGACATATTGTACTTCTTTGGCTTTTCTTGTTCTTTTTTATTATTTTTTGTGTGTAATTTTTAAAATTATGTTTTGTGGTACAATCATACACAAGAACCTGCACATATTTGAGTGTGTAATTTGATAGTCAAGTTTTAACATGTGTATATTATGCAGCACTGAGCTGCTTTCAGTCACTTTAGATTCAATTGAATTTTCTAAAATTTATATAAATGGTATAAAAATTTTACTCTGGTTTTGATCTTCAAATAGCATATCATCCAATGGAGTTTAACTATAACACTGGTGAGAAAGAAAATCGATTCCTGGTGAAATCCACCATCTGTGTGGAGTTTACATGTTCTCCCCATGTCCACATGGGTTTTCTCCTGTTACTTGAGTTTTCTCCCACTTTCCAAATATGCACATGTGAGGTTCCCCCGTGATTACTTTGTTCTACTCTGAGTGAGTGAGTGAGTGAGTGTGTGTGTGTGAGTGAGTGTGTGTGTGTGTGTGTGTGTGTGTGTGTGTGTGTGAGAGAGAGAGAGAGAGAGAGAGAGAGAGAGAGAGAGATGCTATCTGGGAGGGAAGTGATCCCAAGCCCAATACTAACACAGCACGTACTAGTTCATCTATAACTCAGCTAAGCCCCAGACTGCTCTCAATCCTCTGGACCTAAGTGAACTCGTCTCTCTGTTGGCAGACCAAGGGATGCACAGCTGTGAGACAGGGGTTCAGGAAACCTGCAAACCACCACCGCAAGCCTTTACGCAGATGACAAAACCCAGGTCCTTAGTCCTTGGTCCTTAGTTCTTGGTCATGGCTCCTGTGTGTCTATAAATCCACAATAAACACTGAGCATCCATCTACTTTCCCCCAAACCAAAGCTACTATGGACCTTTCCCCAAATGACTCCCATTGCTCCCTGCTTATCTGCACATAAACCTCCCTGTAAAAAACCCAGAGCCCTCAGTCAGCACAGCGGATTTGAATATTGCCTCCCACTGTCCTGGTCAGACCCTTGCAGAAGTTGAATTCTTTTCCTGCTTGGCTTTCAGCATTTGACTTTCTGCTGTGTGCTCAGCACTGGAACCAGCTGTCACTGGCAACAGAAGGGTGTCCTGTGCTCTGGGCTATCCCGAGAGGCTCCAAGTCCCCCACCAGACCCTGAACTGGAACAAGCGGGTTGGAAAATGAGTGAAGACAAATATGATTGTTTCATATTATAGGAGTTTGGTGACCAGAACTGTGCCACCAGAACTTAACTCTTGTTTATATCTATTTGCCTACATAAAATGGTTTTTTATTATATATTTATTTTTACATTGTTGTTCATTTTTGTACAATATTTGAGCTCCCCTTTTAGGTGTAATCCCCATAAAATTCCCACCACTACATTACTCGTGTCCCTTGTGCGTCACCATAGTCCCTTGTGCTCTTCCCTCCTGTTTTGATCCCCTCCCCCTCCCTGCTTTATGTCTTAGATTTATAGTTTGCCTGTGCTAATGTTGTCTTTTTTTTTTTGACCCCTTGTTCAGTTTTCCTATATTCTTCCTATAAGCAAAACCATCCAGTACTTTTTTCTTTCTTCTGACTTATTCACTCAACAAAATCCCTTCCAGTTCCATCCATGATGCTGCATATGGCATGAGATTATCTTTTTTGATTGTTGAATAGTATTCCATTGTGTAGATATACCACACTTTTTTATCCAATCATTTGTTTTGGGGAATTTAGATTGTTTCCATTTCTTAGCTAATGTAAATAATGCTGCAATAAACATAGGAGTGCAAGTTTCCTTTCAAATTAATGTTTTGTGTCCTAGATTCCTAGGAGTAGAATTGCTGGGTCATATGGTAACTACATTTTTACTAATTTGAGGGTCCTCCATGCAGGTTTCCATAGCAATTTGACCAGTTTGCATTCCCTCCAGCAGTGTAAGAGGGTTCCTTATTCTCCACATCCTTGCCAGCATTTGTTGTTGCCATTTTTTTTTTTTAATATGGACCCCTCTCACTGGTGAGATGGTATCTCATTGTGGTTTTGATTTGCATTTCCCTCTAATTAGTGATGTTGAACATTTTTTCATTTGCATTTCCTCTTTGGAGAAGTGTCTTTTTAGCTCTTCTGACCATAAGATGGGTTTTATTATACATTGTTTCCCTTAAAGCCCAATTTCTAAGAATCTATAGATGCTTGAAAACTTTTGGGTTAATCAAAGCAAAATAGAATGTATGTCTGGTCTGTTTCTGCTGTGGGACTTTGCGGCTCCTTTAGTATGCTTTTGTGACTGGTGGGGAGCTAGGACCAAGAGAGATGGATAGGGAGGAAGAGTTTTATTTTCACACAATGTTCACATAACTGCAATTTACTAAAAAAAAAAAAAAAAAAAAAAAAAAAAAAGACAGGATCCTACACCCAATTCCAGATAAAATGCCAAGCAATTGAAATGGAGAGAACTATGTGTGTCCAGCAGTGGACAGCTTTTTAAGCATACGCAGGAATGAATACAAACATAGTGAATAGAATCCAAACTGGGGAGCAATCTACGCCAAAGTGGTCTTCATTAGGTGAGTTATACCAAAGTGCTCGCAATTTGTGTTTCTTTTTATTTTCTATTCTCATGATAGAATCATCTCCTGGTTTTTATATTGCTGCAGACAGAGCTGGCTATGTAATTTGCAGGACCCAGTGCAAAATAAAAATGCAGGGCTCTTTGTTCAAAAAGCAGAAAAAAGTGTCATTAAATGCAGAAAAATAGAGTGTTCCTTTCTTCTGTGGTCTCCCACGGGTCACGATGCTTTGTATTTAAAATCCTTCTGAGAAAAGAAAATTCAGAACTGTTCCTTATTACGTTGTGCAATGGGAGTTTTAAATGCAAACTATTACAGCAAAAGCAGGGCCCTTTGGAACCCTGGACTCTGAGATCATGAGGGTCGCAAGTTCATGGAGCCAGTCTTAGCTACCCAACAAGGAGAAGCACATCTTCTGTTGTACAATTTTCAGGCAGCAGATTTTATGCACCTCAGCCACTACGATCAGCTTTCTGACATTTACAGTGGGAAGTTATGGCACATTTTGACCGACAGAGTCCACCTTTAAAAGACTGTAGTAACTGCTTCATTAGAGAGGAGTCAGCAAGAAAAATGTTTCCCTTGCACTTTTCGAAGCCGTAAATGTCATTGCACGTTGTAAAGAAATGTTTTGGGGCCCGAGTTGATGAACCAATCATGTGGCCTCAGGTGAAGGCATTTTATAAACACTTTTGAAACCTGTCTGGCAGCTTTAGGGTTGAATGGACTGCAGGAGGCCAGAGGATGAGAACTGGAATTCACTGCAGAGAACAGATGTTACTTTTCCAACTAGAAAAGGTAGGGGAACAGGACATTAAGGGGATCCCCTCTCTCTGTCGAGGTCACATTGAGACAGAGTTAAGGCTGCCTCTCTGCCGGTCCCTTTTCTTTCTCTGCTGTGTGGGGACTTAGCTTACCTAGAAGAGGTCACAATGCCACCCATGGTTGCCTCTTCCTTGCTCATTCCTAAAACCAGCACTTAGTGTTAGAGACATCGCCACGAGAATGGGAGGTTCCGTTTCCTGGCCCCACTTACTTGCAGCAAGCTTTCAGGCCTCAGTGGCCCTGCTTTGCACCAACCCTGCCGTTGATGATGTCATTTTTCAGAATTATTGGGTTCGGAGAGTGGGGTCCTTGGGTTCACGCTAGGAAAAGTTTTATTAGAGCTCCCCTTAAACCAGCACCGGCAAGTTCCCAGGTGAGTTTCTCTACGACAGAGACATTAGTTATATCTAAAAGGGCAGGTTTATTTTAAAAGGGAGAGAAGAATAAAGGACACTTGCATAGACAAAAACAGGCAGAAAGGGGTGCCCAGAAAGGAACAGGTTTGCTAAGAGAGAGACCTGTGTGGTAGCAGGCAGGCAGCCTTGAGGAGAGCTGTCTCTGCTTAGGGAGGTCAGTGAAGACCCTGGCATGGGTACAGGTCACAGGCAGGCAGACCGCTGCCCTACAGAGGGACAGAGAGTTGGTGAAAAGGAGCCCCTGCAGGACCTCCTTGGTGCCGCAGTGGCTAAAGACACAGCACTATGAAGCTATCTGCAGCCACTGCAGCACGAGTTCAATCCCCAACCAGCCAGGGAGCAACCCACATGGCGCTGCAGACCTCTCCTGTCTTACCCGCTGCTCCCCTCAGCAGTGTATTTCAGTAGATGTGCCTGTTCTGTTTCCCGCTCTGTCTCTGGTGAATCCTCTCACCGCCCCCCGCCCCACCTCTGGCCACCTGTACCCCAGTTCTTGTATGCATAAATAAATAAATCTTAAAAAAAAAAAAGGAAAAGGAGCACCTGCATAGGCACAGGTGGGCAGGACTGCTGCCTCCTGCCAGTGCCGAGATTGCACTGATATAGTTTTCTCTTTGGGAGGGGCTCACTCCTTCTTGGAGGGGCTTGCTTGTTCTTGATTTTGAATAAACAGTGCAGAATTTGAAAGGGGCCGGATTTCCACAATGTCCCTCAATCTCCATATCTTCACCTTCAGGTCTGAGCTTCTGATATTCCCTACAGCAGTCTGATACCTGGTTGGGACTTGTGCTTTGTGATCTAGGCATTTGTACCTGAAGGATCTC